CTGTGGATTATGCAGGGCCAGTATCTGGGAAACAAAACTCCTTCCTGGCCCATAGGGTCTTGTCTTGTGTGTGTTTGGACTTGATCACAATCTGAAGCAGGGCCGTCCCTTAGATCTTTTTGCAACAATGGAAATAGTCTATATATGTGGTCCAGTATGGCAGCCACGGACCACAGTGGTTACTGAGCGTGGCTTCTAAATTCTCTTTTAATTCATTTAAAGTTAAATAGCCCCATGCGTTAGTGGCCAGCGTGTTGAGCAGCACAGTTCTAGGCTTTGCTGCCCTGATGTATGGATGGACACTCTGACTTTTTAAGCCACTGCAGGTTACTTGAAGAGACTTTATTTTAGCCTCCGAAGTTTGGGTGGATTATGACAGACAAAACAATGACAATGTTTATGTTGGGTAACTGCCTTCACCCTTTACCTACCTCTCTTTCTGGGAGATCCAGGCAATCTCACTGATGTAAACATCCTGCTGAGCCAGGCCTGGGGGCATAGCCAGCTGCTCTGGTATCAGGTGAACTGCCTCCCTCCAAAGCAAGGTTGGGTCCTTGTGACCTGGGATCTAAATACCTAGTTGCTTGGTTGCTGATGGTGAAAGGACAATAATCCTTTTCCTGTTAGCAAAGCAAATGGTGCTCTTGAAAAACTGAGAGCTGGTCTCCACTTTCTGTGCCAGTGAAGTAAAAGCAGTGACCAAGTGTCCTCAGTCCCTGAGGTTTGTGGATTTGGAATGGTGTCCCTTCCAGCAAGGACACGGGATCTTGGAAGACGAGAAGGGCCTATGATGTCTCTCTTCCTAGAAGGCTGCAGTCCCCCAGGTCCTGGGCTAATCGTTTTCTATGGGGAAATCAGGGCTCCTGTCCCTTCTCTGGAAAGGCTGGAGGGTAGAACATCCTGGTGCCCCTGCCAATCACAGCCAGCTCCTCTAGGCCAGCAGCTGTCTGGGAAAATGATTTCCTGCTCACATTGAGAGACTGCTCTGTTTTTCAGTCTCCTAAATCATCCATGTTGGTCATGTGGAGCTGATGATTATTTATTTCCTTGTTAAATTCTAATCTGATTAAACAGTTCACAAGGTTGTATGTAGCTTAGAAAAGGGCCTAAAATTAAGTTGCTACTTTGGTTGGCTTTTAGAAATCTGGCCTGGGGCTGAGCTGAGGTGAAAGAAGGTATTCTGGAAGTCTCAGAACCTGCCTCTCCACTGATACCTGTTGGAGCATCATTTGCAAGAATAGTTGTACACCGAGGCAATTTATAATGTAACCTGATGTTAGTATGACATTTGAGAGTCTCACTTGTTCTCATAATGATCTCATGAGATAAGCATGCTAATAAGTATCTCTTTGATGGGAAATTGAAGTGCTCAGAAGTAGAGTGGTTTGTCTGAATTCACGCTGTAATGAGGGGCAGAGCCGGCCCTCCACGGTAAGTGTTCTTTCTATGAGGCCACAGCACAGACTTAACCGTATTTAGGAGGTACCACTCCAGAGAACATCTCAGCACAGGCTTGATAGTTATTGCTTTATCTTGGATTTAGATTTAACACAAGCACCCTGGCTGGTTTGGCTCAGCGGTTAGAGTGTCAGCCTGCGGTCCAGAGAGACCCGGATTCGGTTCCCGCTAGGGGCGTGTGCCTCGGTTGCAGTTTGTCCCCGGCCCTGGTTGGGTCATGTGGGAGGCATCTGCTCAATGTGTCCCTTTCACGTTGATGTTTCTCTCTCTCCCTCCCACTCTATCTGAACAAAAAATGGAAAAATGTCCTCGGGTGAGAAAAAGAGAGAGATTTAACACAACCTCTGCCAAACCAGAGCTAAAAGCCGCTAGTTGTAATGAGGGGTTCATGTCATAATGGAGTGGCCACCATGTTAAATCACGTTAACTGTGTATCTGGGGATCTGCCCACCTGTAGGCAGGTGTCAGGAAATTATAGCTTGATTCTGGCTCTATTACTTGATGGTAAATGCCTCGCTTATTCCAGGCCCATCCGAACCGCGCCAGTCTGAGACTGGGTTAAGGAATGGGAATTACAATACGTGTCAAATTGCAATATATGTTAAGTGATGGGAATTGAAATATGTGCCAAAATTAGGTGGTGGCATGCTTCATGTTGCGACTGTACAGTTAAAAAAATGTCCATGGTTCAAGCAATCCACTTTCATACTACCCACTCGGTCTGAGAGTGCACTTGCCTTCAGAAATCAGAGGCAAACCTTCCTTCAAGTTTTAAGCCCCAGTAATCTCTGGAAGGAAATTACTCAGGGAGATGTTCACTTAGGGAAAAGGCCTTGGCTAGTTTTACACCATCTCATTGAGCTGTATCTCTCTCCTGAGCTTTTCTGTTTGACCGAGGACACTCTATTGTCTGATATGACATTCACTACAATGAGCTCTGGAAACTGGATCGGTCTGCCTGGGTTCTCTTTGCGAGTGCCAGTGTTCTTATTGAGAGCCTCCTCTGGGAGACTAGCTCCAGACCTCCCTACTGTGGCGAATCCTGTAGAAAGAACTTTGATAAGTTCTTCATTCCCTCAGGATTTGAGATATAGCAGGGTAGGCCCAGACTATGAAGTATTAAGAACAACTGGCATTTCAAAGACATTTACGTAGGGATCCAAACCTGGGAAGGGAATTCTCCAAACCAACCCATGATCCTGGGGCCTGAGGATCTCCAGGATCTGGTTTGAGTCTCATAAGGTATCTCTGGCTTCACTCGCACCAAGCAAATGTTGAAGGACGGAGCCAGGAGGGTCAATGTTATGAGCATGCAAGTCAGTTGGCTATTGAAACATTGCAGTCAGTGACATCTTCTCTCACCCTGCCCTTCCTGCACTTCTACATCCAGAGGCAGAACCTCTAGTGTCCCCCAAGGAGTATCTGTAATACAGAGAGCCAGTCAGGGGTGAGTTTCACTGTGGGGAGTTCTGATATTGTCACTCTTCTTGATAGAGAAGATGTGACCTTGAGGGCACTTGTATGTTCAAGGCCCAAACCCTTGGGACAGCATTATCTGGAAAAACTTGGGATTGTGTAAGTCATATTGTTTCAAGTTCTTCGACATACAAAGAGGTGACATAGTGCAAACGCTGAATACTCCTGTCCTTGTCCTTGAGAATAGGAATCGCCAGTTTTATTCCTTACCACATATTTTTGCCTTCATTTCATAATTACTTTTATATGTACAATGATGTCCTTTGTAGATGTGGTCTGAGTGTTTTGCAATGATGATTTAAAGAATGAATAGTTTCTAAAGCTGAAGAAGAAGAAAATTGCAGGTCAGAAGCTTGTCCCCCAAACAAGTTTGTAAAGAGAAACATAAAACTTCAAGTCCTAGAATGTCTCAAATGTGTGAGCATGGCCATACAAAATAGCCATGACTATGTATGTGGGTCTTTGCATAAAAACTGAAGAACCCGGATGCCCATTGTTTAATGATTCCAATCTAGAAGATTGCTACATGCCACCTATTTGACTTAAATTTACATTCCATTTTTTTTTTATCTGCCCTTGCTTTTTGTTCCTAAGTATAAAAATATAAGAAGTTATCTTACTGCTAAAAATGTGTTGTTCTAGCCAAACTAGATTTACTTTTTGGATTACTCTCACTCCCGAAGTTTAATCAGATTCAGGCATTATATTTAGTCCTTGAGTAATAGGAAAGATCCAGGCAACATGTTCTGCTGTCAATATTGTGAGATAGTCTCTCTCATTTCAGGCTCTAGGAGGAATATTTTATCGTGTGATTGTGTGTTCCTTAATAGGGAGTATAGATCTCTCTCAGGGATGCAGCTACATCCATGAACATCAATCACTGAGGTTTTTAGGTGTCCTTTGAACATTAAATAACCGCAGTGTGAACATCCTAGATTAGAGAAGAAATCCCAACAAGAACTTGATTGATATCAGGTATCCAGGATCTATCTCAGGGACCCTACCGCCAATAGAAAAGAGAGTCCATCCTCTGGAGTATATTTCAGGCATAAAATATTAAATAAGACTTCATAAAAGGCATATTACTCATCTTAAATCAGTTCACCATGCTAACAATGGTCGTTGAATGCAGCGTGTGGTATTTAGCTTACATAGGATAAGTAAAATTCATATGCAGATAAGCACATACCATGAAATATAATCATATGCTCAGTGGTTCAGAGCACCCACTCTGGGCTCAGACTACCCTACCACATATTGGCTGTAAAATCCGGGGTATAGTTTCTTAACTTTTCTCCTCTGTATAATGAGACAAATAATACAAAGAGATTTTAAAAAATTAAATAAGCTACATGTACCAAGTACCTAGCACAGTGTGAACGTCGTAAGCACTCAAATAATGGTAACTACTAACAGCTACTATTATTATCATCATTCTCAGATTACTATTATATTGATCTCTTTATTTATTATTATCATCCTAGACAAAAATAGTTGAACAATGGCAATTTATTATACATGCAGTTATTATTGCATTTCACTCTCTTTATTTAAAATAAGAACTGAGCCCAGGCCGGTTTGGCTCAGCGGTTAGAGCGTCAGCCTGTGGTCCACAGAGACCCAGGTTCGGTTCCCGCTAAGGGCATGTACCTTGGCTGCAGTTTGTCTCCGACCCTGGTTGGGTCGTGTGGGTGGCGGCCACTCGATGTGTCCCTTTCACATCGATGTTTCTCTCTCTTCCTCTCTCTCCTTCCCGCTCTGAGTAAAAAATGGAAAAATGTCCTCGGGTGAGGATAAAAAAATAAATAAATAAATAAAATAAGAACTGAATTTGCGATGCAGTGGGTTAGACCATAAAGAAAGAAGAGCGAGGCTGAATCAGGGTGGCCGGGGGTGGTACCCAGGTTGGGAGCTCCTGCCCTGCCTCTTCCTGCCCTGACCTTTAGGATTCTTCAACATCTTTTAATGTCGGCTTTTCCCCAAGCAGCATGCACACAAGCGTGTGCACACACACACACATGCATGCATACACGTGCGGCCACAGGAGAATGTAGAGTTGTAAGTACCTGTCTGATAGATGACCCGTTTGAAAACCAGGATCTCTCAGAATTTGTCTCTTGGCCGGCAAATTGATCTCGTTTCTTCTCACTTGTGTCTCTTCTGTATTCCTGTCGTCTCAGACAAGCCTGGAGGACAAAAGAGGTCATTGTGTGGGTTTTCTTTTCTTTCTGTCATCTTGGGTCTATGACTAGCTTTGACAACTGTATGCTTACTTCCTACTGAGAAGAACGTGCAATAAATCGCGAAATAAACGCATGATGTACATCTGCAGTGTTCATCAACCTGTTACCAGGTATGAACACTCTTACCCAGGCATCACTCTCTGCCCGTGGCCCAAAATGCCGGGTGAAAAATGTTAGTCATTGTTTTAATAAAATCAAACAACAAACATATGAGAGACACTTGGTCAAATATTTACCCAACAATTGCCTTCTCGAGGAGGAAGTACCTAAGGTACCGTATTCACTTCTCCCTCTGGTCTCTTTCTCTTCATAGCACCTCCTTCACACTCGCCTCCACTCTACCCTAGCCCCTGGGGTCACACCCTGGTTACAGGAGAAGAATTTCCCTATGTGGGACCTTCAGCATGTGCTGTTCCTTGTGCTGTTCCTCCCGCTGGGAGTGCCTTTCACAGGATGTTCTATTGACAAACCCTGCTGACAAACTAAGCGCTAGTTGGGAGGAGTCTCAGGTTTTCCTGCCTCACCACCCTGCACCAGGCCAAAGTCACTGCTTCTTTGTACATATAAAGCTTGAATTATGCAATTCCCACCCCCACCCCTACCCCCATCATATTTAATTATTTTGTTTTTGAGCCTGTTCCTCCTGCCGATCACTGAGAACCCGGATGGGAAGGACTGCTTCTTACCTTTTGCACCCCCCAGCATCTAGCATTTACTGTTAATTGAATTGCATTTTCATTTTGGGGGAAAATAACAATCCCCAAATGTTATACAAATATAATAAAAAAATAATTTTTTTTTCATTTGTAAAAAACAAAATTAAAAGAAAATCTAGTTCCTAAATGTTTCTCCTCCAGTACAGGGATTGAACAAACCCAAAAGGATCATGTGCTATGGGGATTCCAACTGGTGATTTAAATATCTTCAAAGAGGAAAAGTTCTCGGAGCATTTCTAGACTTGTAGAGCCAGTGACTGAATTCACCACTGCCCCGCCAGAGCCAAATTATCCACTGTCACCGTAAAGAAAGGCGGTGTCAAGACCAACAATGTTGTTTCTAAACTAGGCCTGACATGTCCGCCTTCCTGGCTGGGTTGAGAAAGAAAAGATTTCTTGGGCATTTTTTCACGTCTATTAGAAAAGCATCTCCTTCCTTCATGTAGAAGGACTTGCCAGGGTTTCCCGCCATGGGGAAAGCCTAATATTATGCTACAAGGTTAAGAACAGTAATGACCTGATATTAACCAAACATTTCCCACTTGGAAAACCAGAGTCAGTTACACTGTGTTTCACAGCTGGGCTGCAGGGAAGTCCTGGCCTCCAGGCTCATGCGCAGTGGCCAGTTGGTCACCGGCCGCAGGTGCGATCCTGGCTTCCCAAGAGACATGTGTGGTTCCACCTTCCTTGCTTGGAAAGGGAGAACACTCCAAAATGGTTGTGTGTGTATGTGTGTGTGTTTCTATCTCACAGTTAATCTTATTTCCAAAAACTATTCCATATAGATAGTAAGCCACTATAATAAATCCTGGGCAGGATTTGTTTTCATAATTTAAACAAAAAACTCAAAAAGTACTAGATAGTAACTATAATAAGCTAAGCACCAGAGAGTTAGCTGGAGAGCTGAGTGAAGTTTAGCTAAGTATGGTGTCTTTTTTTCTATTCCTTCCGCAATGACTTGTGATCGGAGCCCCTGTTTGGGAGGAGCCCTGGTTTGGCACATTGTCCCCTGAAGCACAGGCAGATGTCTGTGTTATCCTAACCTACTGGTATCAAAGGAACAAGAAAATGCTGATGGGCTGAAAGTGGAGGAGCCCGTCTTAGCAAATGCTAGCAGGACCCAGGCAGATTTTGTGGGATGAACAGAATTCTTGTGGGCTGAGTGTTTTTTGAAAATTCTCTCCAAGAATGCATGCGACTTAAATATTTCTTTACCAAAAAGGGATAAGGAATAGAATGGTCTGCAATGTTGAAAAAAAAATTTTTTTTTCTCTTCTTGTTCCTTATCCCCTCTCTCATAGAGGAGCAGGAGAAAAACCAGTGGCAAGGTAGGTACTTCCAATTATTATTTTTTGATCCAGCCAAGCAATCTTTCTGTGTAAATCAAACACTAATCCTCTCAAAGTCACAGCTTCGCTGAGGTAAGGGAACCCGGGGACAGAGCCAAGTCCAGGCTTCCAGTCCTGGAAACAGTAAGAATGTAGCCATTCTCCCCCAAGGGGCTAGTTTCCTGTTCTTTGTAAATGTCAATGATTTTCGTTGTTGTTGTTGATGCCGCTGTTGTTTCTACTTTGGGGGTCCTGAAGTGGCAGGGGCAGAGGAGTATGACATTATAGGATGGGGAGGAGGAATGGAGTTGTAATTCATAGTCACTGTTTGGGGGGGCTCCCCTTACTCCGGAACTTTCAAAATTTTCCCTTTCAAATTCACGTGCCTGGAGCTAGATTGCTATAAATAAATTTCTCTTCACGTGACATAACTGGCTGAGGGCAGTCTTGAAATTGACAGCGTGTCAGGTAACTTATTATTCCTTCCTTTCGGGGGGAGGATCGGGGGCTTCCTCCTTCACTCTTGCGTGGTGTTGCCCCCACCCCCCGGAACCCCCACCTCTCAAGCTCATCCCTCTGACTGGCTGCCTTCTGTGCAGAAGCTACCACTGTGGGGGCAGCACAGAGAAGGTGCATAGATGCCTGTGGGGGTGACGTGGGCTTTGTGACTCACTGTAACTCAATCCTGGTAAACATGACAAACCCCAGCTCCGCCACTTTCTAGCATCGTGACCTTGGGCGAGCTGACTAACTCCATTGATTCTCACTCCCCTCTCCTGCAAGAGGGAGAGGTGAGGTGGCCCTGTGCTGCGGGATGTTGGGGGAGCCCGAGGCACTGCTGGTCAGAGGCTTTGCAGTGACTGGCTCACGGTGGGCGTCCAATAACAGACAGTCACCATCATCCCCACCACCGTTGTTATCTTAAGAGAACTGTAATAGTTTCCAACCCCAGTTCTTCGTTTACTTCTATTTCTGAAGTCAGCCTTTGCCAAAGAACGTGACTCTGATCTTGGCCGTGGAAGAAGACTCTGTCCAAGCCTGAGGAGCATCCTCGTCTCTGCCCCGGAACCAGCCGTGTGTTTCCGAAGCCTGCCCTTCCCCCAGCAGCCAGCAGAGGAGATCCTGTTCCAGTCACTCAGGGTCCCTCTGTAAACCACTTCTTCAGCATCACAGCTATCTGAACCAACAGGGATGCTCACAGCTTCCTCTGTTTCTTTTTTATCAGTCTCCTCTTTCACCCAGGCTCCTGGGGCCTGAAGAAGCCATCGGTGTACCACAGGAACAGTCCCCAGCCTCAGAGTCGTGCCATAAACACCATCCTAACACCTGCCAAGGTCATGGCTACTCAAACTCCAAAAGCATTTTGGGAAGTGGGGGTTGCCATCTGCCTTTGATCGGTTGTTTTGGGTGGTGGTTCTTTTGACCTAACATGCATAGTCCAGAGTTTGGGGTTTTAATGATCACTGGTGACATGATTAAAGTTCATTACTTTTGAGAGGCTAAGGAATCAATGGTGTAAAAACAGTTTGATGTGGTAGTCCGCTCAAAGGAGTTGATTTCCCTATTCTAGCGGAGAAGAGTAGAGAAAGGCACACCTCAGAGGTAAGCAGGTGGGAAGGGCAGTCGAATGATCTCCATTCCCTCAACCTTCTGAGTGCCCAGCTCCAAACCCTCACCACCTGGCGCAGTCACCTACCGTGTCCTTGAACAAGTTTATATGATGTTCAGTGTCTGATGTGCACTTAAAGGAATTAGGATGAATAAGTGACATGAAATGAAACCCTTTTGAACCCATTTGCTAGATTATGGAAAATCATTCTGAAATTCCATGTCTAATCTTTTTCTCCAGCTTTTAGTGGACATTAATGGCTAAATTCTGCCTCAAGGTACATAAACACATTTGACCAAAAGGAGAAGGAAGGAAAAAAAAAAAAAGCTATGCAGCATGCACACCCTTGAAGAAATAGAGCCAAATTCTGAGATGGCATATAATTATGTACTAGTTACTAGATTCTGAAATAGCATGTAATATGCCAAATAGATGTTTATTTCTTCTTGTTTTTTCAAAAGGGTCCCACCCAACCACTGAGAGGAGTAGCATCAAAATAACTCAGGGTGGGTTGAACCCTCTCCTGCTGCTAGCACGCAGACCTGCCAAGGCACTGCTAATTTGGTGCATACCAACCCGTAGCATATTTTAGGATGTAGCAGGAATAGTGTATACAGGAGGTTTCTAAGGGCTTCAATTTGAGCCAGTTCATCAAAGGCAAGCCAAGCACAGGAAGGGATGTGTGGCAAATGTATATGATTTGGGAGTCAGATCTAGTTATTAAGTCTTACACTATTTGCACACCCAGAAATGGGGACTCCCTAGTGTCCGAGCATGCATGTACCCGGACCAGGGCCGGGGATTGAACCTGCAACCCAGGTATGTGTCCTTGACCGGGAATTGAACCTGTGACCCTTTGGTACATGGCCGACACTCTAACTACTTAGCCACTCTGGCCAGGGCTGACCCAGGGTTTTAATATCCACCCAGCACAAAGTCTACCCTAGTAAATTATCTAAATACACACAGGTCATATATGGACCAAGTTACCGAGGGGGTCATTAAAGTCATGCAATTGATTCTTAACACCCTACTTTAAATCCTTTCTGGAACAAGGCAAGAGATAGATTAAATAATCTAACTAACTCATTGTGGTTTCCTTTAAAGTAGTTTCTGTGGGTTGCTATAAACTTACTTTGACAATACTCAGAATGTCTTAAAGACAACCTGATTTATTTTTTGCAGACCTTGTGGTAAGTGGCTTTGAAAATGGTCCATGAACCCTGGTCGGTTTGGCCCGGTGGTTAGAGCATTGGCCCACGGACCAAAGAGTTGCAGGTTTGATCCCGGGCAAGGGCACGTACCTTGGTTGTAGTTTGGTCCCTGGCCCTGGTTGGGGTCGTGTGGGAGACGACCAATCCATGTGTCTCTCTCGCATGGATGCTTCCCTCTCTCCCTCCACCCCCCACTCTATCTGAAGATAAAGAGGAAAATATTGAGGATTATTTTTAAAAAATCAATGGAAAAATATCCTCAGGTGAGAATTAACAACAAAATTTAAAAATAAAAGAAGTATGGGGATTTTCACTTTGAAAAGTAAAGAAGTTTAAGATAGTAATGATAACAGAGGGAGTTGACAGGTGTTTGCGAAATGCGTCATCCTTCATTCCTTTCTTTCTCTCGTTGCCCCCTCCAGCCAGCAGCATGACGTCTGTGCTGCTTCAGTTTCCTGGGTCAGGCCACTTCCTGCGACCTCTGTTCCCACCATTCTGGCCCAAGACACCAGAATTTCTCTCCTAAATTTCCACTGTAGTTCTCTTTCTAGTTTTTCTGCTGCTTCTCGTGCACCTTTCAGACCTTTTGTAGATCAGATCAGATACATTAAAATCATCCAATAATTCTCAATGTGATAAGAATAAACTCCAACTACCAAGCCTTGTCCTGAAAACACAACCTGGTCTTATCTACCTCTCCCACACTCATTCTTGGTCAATATGTTTCAGCCACTCTGGCCTTCTTTTGTTTCCTCCAATGCTCCAAGTTAGTTCCTGCCTCAGGGCCTTTGCACTTGCTTCCCTATTGCTCAGGATGTTCTGGCTGGCTCTTTCCCATCTTTTACTTCCACAAAGTTACTTCCTCAAAGAGGACTTCCTTGCCTGCTTAAAGGAGCACCACCCCAACCCCATTACCTCTGTTTTATCTGCCTCGTTATATTCATCAGTAACTGAAGTGATCTTACATATTTACTCATGTGTATTACTTGTTTCTCAATTCTACAATAAGAACTCCAGGAGAAAAGGGACTGTTCAGGATATAGGAGGCACTTAAGTATTATTATTTATCAGAACAGTGTTGAAAGTGTCCTTATAAATAAGAACAGTGTTAAAAGCCCAACAGAGATTAGAAAATAAAAGTGCAGTGGTTTCAAGCCACACACAGTTGTGTGATGTTTTTTCCAACAGAAACCATAAAATAAGATTGATTATCTTATGTGCCTATTCTGAAGACAGTTTCAAACAAGTGTTTCGAAACATGGGCCAGGTGGCAGAGGCATCTTTGTGAAAAGTAGATGCACTCCCAGCATGACCAGTTCGAATGTGTACGTTCTTACTTATTTTATACAAATTCCCTCAATTTTATAGTCTTGTAGGTGTGTTGCCAAGTTGTGGGAGAAATGTGCTGACTCCATTTCCAGCCCCAAAGCTAAGCTGTGTTACACGAGTGAAATCAGGTTACTGAGATAGGTCTGGTTTCCTTGGTGACCTGGGAGGTTCAGTTATATTTGAAATTGCTAAGGAGGAGAAAAACCTGATAACAGTTCTGTGTTTTCCTTAGGGGAGGAGCACTTTTCAATCCTTAGACTGAGGACAGGCCTCCTGGGTTGGTGAGGGTTGACCCCCTGGCCAGCGGGCTGAATAACACTTCCTAAGTGCCCTGGAATCCCACATCCCGTCTGGTCTGGCAAGTTTGTCCTATGCCAGCGCTGGTTAATTGCATCATGACTCCTTCAGGCTCTCTGTCTGTTTTGTTTTTGCATGTAAACACTGTAACTAGGGTGACGGATAGTTAGCTTATTGTGGAATGTGCTAACCACCTTTCTTCTGGCAGGATGACAGCAAAGGGCCATGTTGTTTTATAAATGGTAGGGCAACCCAATTACTCCTCCATGTCTTTTTCCTTGATAGCTGGTTTATCAAATTTAAGCCCTAATGTCATTTTTTGACAAGGTTTGTGTGCCAAGCTCTGTGCTAAATACTTTTAAAAGGTTATCTCATTTCATTTTCATGACAATATTATGAGGTGGGTACTATTATTATGCCCATTTTATAGATGAGGAAACTGAGACTCAGAGGTAAAGTGGCTTTCTGTGGCCACACAGCTTGTAGGTGGTGGGTTTTGGAGTTTAGAAAGCTATTGCTGCTCATCATATACTGATATTGTCTGCTGACTTCTCTCCTAATACTGTAAGCAAAGGTGGAAGAGAACTCATTTTCTGCAATTGCTGTACCTGGTATTCGGACTCTACCTTATGTTGCATGTCCCGCAGATACTGAACATCACTAAGGAACTTCTGTCTGTCCTTTGCTTCATGCAACATGATTCCTAATCCCGACCTGCATACAAAAGACAAATACACATGCTGTGATAGAACCCTTTGTTACTTTGCCATATTTGGAATTAGCACAGTTGCATTTATTCTCTTTATTAATCTAATTTCCATTGTTTGAAAGGCACAGATGCTCCTTTCAGACTGAAGGGACTCTTTGTATTGGTGTCCACGCCCTTACAACCCTCCTGTTCCGGGCATAAATAATGCAGCCATTGGCTGGCTGAATAATGCAGCCGTTGGCTGGCTGTGGTGATCCTGTCCCAGTTAGTCACAGGGAATTAGATTGACAGACACCTGATTCAGAAGCAGGTCTACAATGGAACAAAAAAGAAAACCCAAGAACCTAGCTAAATTATCAATGATTGAAGTTATGAGCCCTTGGGAATTTAAATTCATTTATTCAACAATTATTGCGCCCCTATTCCAACCCAGGCACTCTGCTGGGCACTGGGGTATAGCAGTCAGCAAGCTGAGCATGACCTTTAGGAAATGACACTGGTTTTGCAAAGGAGTGAACCAGGCAAGAGCTGGGACAGAGAGCATCTCAGACAGAAAGGACTGCAGGTGCAGGAGCTTCAGGGCAGGAAGGGGCTGGTGTGGGGAAATAGGAGGACCAGCGCCGCTGGAACAGAGATGGGAGAACAGCACAGACCCAAAGGGCTGCGGGGGGCGCAGGGGCCAGCTCACATGGGTGGAGCCTTGAAGCTCATGATTTGAAGAGCCATAGAAAGACACTGGAAGGACTTTGGGTGGGTAGCTCAGTTGGTTAGAGCATTGTCCCCATACACCAAGGTTGTGGGTTTGATCCCTGGTCAGGGCACGTACAAGAGTCAACCAGTGAATGCGTGAGTAAGTGGAAAAACAAATCGATGTTTCTCTCTCTCTCTCTCCAAAATCAATTAAGAATTTTTTTAAAAAGATAAAAAAGACACTGGAAAGTTTTGGAGAATAGATAATGATTAGATTTGCACTTTTAAAAGGTCCCTCCAGCTGTTGTATGGAGACTAGATGGGGGGAGGGAGTAATCCAGATGAGACAAAATGATGACCAGACTTGGGTAGCAAAAGTGGAGATGGGGGAGGGGAGTTGGGGGAGGAGGGGAAGGAGGAGGAGGAAGAGGAGGTCACAGCTACTATTGACTGAGCCCCTGGAAGTTTTAAGCATTTACACACATCACCTCGTTCAAATGTTCACGACCATGCTATGAGGCAGGCACCATATCTCTATCTTGTAGCTGAGGAAACTGAGACACAAAGGGATTCAGTAACTTGCTTAAGGTCACAGAGCTACTAAATGGAAGACTTGGGATTTGAACCCAGAGAGTCTCATGCCAGTGCCCACACCCTTAACCATGAGGGATTCAGGGATATGCAGGAGAGAGTCATCAGGACTCGGGGATGACATGATGGGCCAGGAGAGGGACATGTGGAAGAAGCTGCCCAGGTTGAGCACCCAGCAGCTGGTGTCAACATTTCCATCAGAAAGGGAGGAGGAAGGAGGAGCAGGCTTGTGAAAAAATAACATGGAGTTTGAAGTGTCTGGGTTACTGGGTTACAAATGGAGATGTCAAATTAGGAGATGTAGGTGCTCTGGAGCTGATTAGAGGTGAAGATTTGGGCATCGCTGGCATTTTTAGGGACAGCTGTAGTTGAAGTCTGAATGGGTACTGAAAAGAGGAGGAGCCAGGACAAAACTCTGAGGAACACTAAAATTTAAGAAGAGGTAACTGAACAGAAACCTTGCAAAGAGGCCAGAGGGGCAGGAGAACCAGGTGGGTGCAGTTTCATAGATGCAGAGAAGAATGTGCTCCAAGAAGGTTATTAACGACCTTGAGAGCATTTAGTGGAGCGCTGGGGCTGAAGACAGGCTGCAGCGGGTTGTGGAAATGAGAGGTGAGGAAGTATAGACAATGCTTTCAAGAAGTTTGGTTCTGATTAGTGTGGTCTAAATTTATGACCAAAATATTTAAGTTCACAAAGTTATTAAATGGCTCTGTTAATAAGAAGTCTGCTAGATGGATGCTAACTAGACTTATTATGGTGATCATTTTGCAATATGTACAAATATCGAATCATTATGTTGTATACCTGAAACTAATATGTTATATGTCAGTTATAGCACACATAAAAAAGATGAGTCTGCTAGACTTTATAAGGTCATTAAAGTTTCTACACTATTCCTGCTTGTTGTCCAGTGAAGGTCTTTCATTTATTACTACATGTATTTTTTTTTAATTTTTTTTTAATCCTCACCCGAGGACATTTTTGCATTTATCTTCAGATAGAGCGGGAGGGGAAAAAGGAGGAAGAGAGAGAAACATCGATGTGAGAAAGACACATCGAGTGGCTGCCACCCGCACAACCCCAACTGGGGCCGAGGACAAACTGCAACCGAGGTACATGCCCTTAGCGGGGACCCGAACCTGGGTTTCTCTGGTCTGAGGGCTGATGCTCTAACCACTGAGCAACTGGCCAGGGCTACATATATTTCTTAATGACTGCCAGGTAGCAGGTGCTTTCTAGGCTCTGGGGAAACAGCAGGATAAGAGAGATAGCATTCCTGCCCCTAGGTGTTTACATTCTGCCTCTTTTCTTCATTCTCTGGTTTTTCAGTTGTGCAGACATTGGCAGAATTAGCTTGCCCCTGACTCATGGTGACCCAGTATCTGGTCTTGCTGCTGTGAAATCTTTTCAGGTTTATTGTCTAGCCCTGAGCAACAGTGATAACTCGTGCTGCTCCCTCAGGGGTTATTTATTAAATCTTAAGTTTAGAAAGTTAGTCCTTTGAGAGTCAAAATTTAAAACTATAATTTAATAGGTAGTTCCACAATCTATACACAAAACCTAAATCTCTGAGCATTTTAATAGTCACTTATGAGATTATATTTTGTTTTTTATTTCAATCCTCACCTGAAGATGTTTATTGATTTTAGTCGGGGCGGGGGGTGGGGGGGGGCATTGTTTGGTTGCCTCCTGTGGGGATCAAACCCAAAACCTAGGTATTTGCCCTGATCCCTTACTGGGAATGAACCTTTTTGGTATATGGGATGATGCTCCAAACAACTGAGCCATCCGGCTGTGGCCAGAGATGGTATTCTAAAAGATCACTTTTAACTTTTCATATGAATTTGTACCTGCATAAAATGAAGTTCCCACCCTTTTCAGAAAATGATGGTGTTAAAACAGGTAGAAAGATAAACCCTTGATGCTACTGTTGAAAAGAGAAGCCTGTCTGAATATTAATCAGGCAGAGAACATAAGGATTCATAATGAAAATATGTTAGCGGTCACTAGAGGGGCACATTCCAGAGTCCACTTGGATAATATATTTTGGTTACAAAGTTAATGTAGAACAGCCAACTAATCTATCCTGCTTTAATGCAGTATTATTTTAAGGAGGCTTCTAAATCAAGAGCCATGACATAACTTTGTTTAAATAGATAGGAAATAACACTATTTGAATTACTTGCTAGGTTACTGGTGACTTCACAATCACCTACCAAATAAAGGACTTTAAAATTGCCAAAAAATTCTCTTTTCCCTCCCATAAACTCTCTATTGCTATACTTTACCATAAAAATGAGTATTAAGAAGCATCATGGTGCCATATGTGGTTTCTTATTTAAATACATCAATATGTGAGATTAAACAAAGACTACAAGCACCAAGGACATAGAGTATTAGAGGTAGATCAAGAGATGGCCGATCGCCACCGTTTAGGTAAACATTCTGCACATTTCTGAAGTGTCCCTTGACCTTCATACTGTACTGCAGGTTTGAAAACTGACGAGGATGAACAAAAAACAAATAACTGTATGGAAATAAATCCACATGAGATAATGCTTAATTCGAGGATCTCGGCTTTGTGGGCCTACTCGACCAGATGGTCATTTGAAGCCAAAACATTTTTCAGCAAATACAGTAAGGTGGACGCAGGAGAATGAGGACAAAATGTGGTGTGGGCAAAGCACATATTTCTGAAATAGCTTTGTGTATTCGCTTGTTTCTCACCTTTGAACTGCTTTTCGATTTAAAATCCACTCATGGTCATGCATACTTCTGTTTTAAGTCTCTGGTGATACTATATTGGGCCAAATTTGTGCTTTGGAGAGCAACATAAGAAACCATTTTAAATTGGGAAGGAAAAGTAAAGGCAAAGGGAGTAGGAGGCACGTGGGAAAGCAAGAGCGGATGATCCCTCTTGGCCTCAAAATTCTACGTGTCTGTGAAATTTCAATGAGGAATATTCTAAGAACTTGGTGGCATATACATTCCTCTCTAATGAATTCAAACCGAATTCCCTGACTAGGGAGAACAGAATCTGATTGCAGAAATACTTTCAGTTCTCTTAAAAAAAAAAAAAAAATCATACATCTACATCTATGCTTTCTGTTCTATGACCATGTTTGTCAGAATTGATTTGAAAGGATTTATTTTTAATAACAATCTAGCTATTTTACTGTTTTCTTACTATGTTCTCATATTAGAGATACCATTAAAGTTAATATTTTATTGGTTCAGCAATAAGGAGAAATGTAAATTTAAGCCCCTCTTTGGGCCGAAGTTTCCTTTGAAACAAAATTTAAATGGCTACATTAATACCTGACAATCTGGTTTATAAAGTCCCCCTATGATGTACAAACTGCCAGGTATAAAAAAAGTCATGGGGATATAAATACAGCATAGGGAATATAGTCAATAATATTTTAATAGCTGTGTGTGGTGTCAGATGGGTACTAGACTTATCAGGGTGATCACTTCATAAGGTATATAAATGTCTCATCACTGTGCTGTACACCTGAAACTAATAACAGTGTATGTCAACTGTAATTTGAAAAATAAATTGAAAAATATTCCTTCTGTTCCACAATGGGGTGCCGAGAAAGATTCAGGAGACCGTATTCATCTGTTTACACAATTAATTTGTAATGACAAATATCTCAGGATTTGTTTAAATCTGAGTTTTAAAAAACGTAAGAGTTTTAAAAT